GGACAGCTTGGGGCACCAAAGTTTTAAAAAAAAAAAAAATCCACCAAAAATACCACCAACAACATTAGAGTTACATTTTGCATTTGGATCAATGAAACACTACAGAATATCAGACATCAGGATGGACAAAGGACAACAGAATGGTATGTTTCTTGGAGAAGATGCCACACTACACTTCATTCTAGAGAGACTGGTTGCAGGATCTCAGGCAAGGCAGAGTGTGAGCGAAAACAAGGTAGAGGGGTATCCTCCTGAGGCACCTCCTAGAGAGGAGTGTTTCTGTTCACTGCCGCAGATCTAAGTCTACGTGCTTTTGAATCTGCTTTGAGTCTGCAATGTGGGACAGCATGGAGGTGGTGGGGGCCAGAGCTCACAGCGTGCATCAGCCCCATTGCTTCACTGGCCAAGAGTCTTGTGTTATGGGAAAGTTCAGGATAGCGTGAGGACTGATGGATAGAGCCAGCCCACGCTCCTTCCCAAGCTGCAGTATAAAGGAGTGCATCTCTGATTCCAGAGGAGGGCTATGAAATCTACAGCTAAAGGAGCATAAACCTCTTAAATCACAGCCACACTCATTCAGCAGGGAAAGACCGAACACGTAAATCTTCACAGGCTCACTCCCAGTAGGAAGGGTGGGCAGGGACTTCTTTTCTGGTGGCATTTCAAGCGCCTTTAATCAGACACGTCATTCGGATTAGGCTAAAGGACAGGTTTAGTGTCCCTGTTTTGCCAGCTGGCTCACCCCTCTGCTCAGGCTAATCCCAGTGTCACACAGAGACCAGCACTTCCGTGCTTGTTTGGATGACAGGATGGACAGGGGAGGGGAGGGCAGTCAGTGGTTGGTAGGTTTACTCAGATCTGACAAGCATTGGGTTCGCTCCTAAAACTTTCCATTGCTATCGTTAAGCAAGTCCACATATATCCCTTGCATGTCAAAAGTCCCTCAGGGCTGCCACTCCAAATGGCCACATCAGGCATTTCAGGGCAAAGCAGTGATGAAATCAGGTGTACCTACACCAGTGGTTAAGCGTGGGACCAAGCCCAGTGCTGACATGAAATAAGCCCGCTGTAAGCCGATAATGAACAGTCAGCCCCATCCTGAGCCCCAGTGCTGCCGGGAGAAGGCAGGCACTACCATTATCACGGCCCCGGGCTCATTGTCTCAATGGCTTTGACCTACCTTGGTACGGGCAAAGGCCCACATAGCACATCCCTGCCTGTCCACAGGTGTCCCAAACCCAGTTCTTCCTGGTCACAGCAGAGGCTTTGTATGGGCAGCAGTAGGGACAAAAACCACACGTGCCTGGGACATCAGACCTGTTCTTCATCTCAATACATGGATGTGACTGCAGAAGGCAACAGACAACAAGTTACTAGAGAGCTGCTTCCTTTTGCTTCTTCCATCTGTGCATCCATCAGATGCAAGCTGTGTTTTTCATATGGTAATGGGCCACTAGGCAAAAATTACCCACATCTGCATTTAACTTTCTTTAGCTGATGTTCATCAAAGGCAGCAAGGGCTCAGCAGCACCTCTGGTGCTGCTCCATCCATTCACCGCTGCAGCTGTGGTGATGGAACAGCCCAAGACCTTGCAGCGATGATGTGGCAGGCAGGAGAGTTTCCCAGGTCAGGAGCATTTGTAAGGAGCTAAGCAAACACCCCAGGCGAGAGACCAAACCTCTAGACATTCAAATTGGATCAGCAGGAGCTTGACGCAGTAGTGACCATGTTCTGCAGCAGCACTCAATGCCAAGAAGCAGGATCGGTGTCACCTACAGGAATGGTGTCTCATTTAGACACCCTCCATCCCTCCCACCCCTTCTACTTTCTTTGCACTATAAGTGTACCTGTTGTTATTTTTCCCCCCTCCAGCTCAGTGAGGCTGAAGTGGAGGGACAGGGGAGATGGGCAGCCCACAGCGGCTCCTCAAGAATCTCAGCCCAGCTCAGCTTTCTCCTGCTCAGCTGGCAAAGACCAGGCAGAGGGAAAATTCCTCTGGCCTCCCAGCTTCGCCTCCTAGCTACCTCCCAGCCCTAATCCCTTCAGGGAAGAGTGCCAGATTTGACAAAACACAAGGCTTTTGTGTCGAACCTGTGCAGGTTGGCATACTCGGAAGGACTAGGGGCAGGACTTACACATGCCGCGGAAGTAACCGAAGTAGAAAACCTTGGAGCTGGAATTAAGACCCAAAGGGACGGAAAGGGAACAACCGGTTCCACTCCGGGTCTTGAATAAATGGGTGCATTATCAGCGCAGGTACAGCCACACAGAAAAGCTCACTGGGGAGGTCCTCAGTGATAAACGTGGGGCCAGAAGGCATGAGCTCTGCCCAGCCCATATCCAGCTGTGTTGTAGCCTGGCTGCGCATCACCACCCCCCAGGACCAGAGAGATGCTCTGATCACAGCAGTTTGACACGGCGGTCAGTGGAGAAGCATGCGAGGTGGCATGGAGCAGCTTCTGACAAGTCCAAAGCGCTCGGATAACAAGTTGTTGTCTGCCAATGCATGTGGCACACAGGTTATTGCTGAGCAGAGGGCACATCTGCTAAGAAATCATCCTGGTGTGCTCTGGGTCTCGCTGCAAGTATTGTCAACCATCCATCACTAAGTGCTGAGGAAATTTGTCCAGGAGTTAGGGGAGGTGAACACTCTACAAGAGGCTAAACTCTACAAGAAGTCAGCCAACTAGGAAATGTTAAAAGGAGCTGGGAATGCTGCATGTCCAGTAAAACATTCACGTTAGCAAGATACAGCCACTGACCACCTCAATCAGTTTATTTCAACATCATTCTCCCCTTCTTCTGTGCTCTCTCCATCAGGTCATGCCTTTAAATTGCAACCTATACGGTACGGTAGGTAACTCCTTACAGTGCCACTAGTACATGGTTGCTGTAGTCAAAGCAACGCCCAGACACCACACATCTCTCACCTTTCTCAGTGCCTCATGAGGCCGTCACCTGGATCCAGGGCAGACAGAGGAGGCAAAGTCCAGGGAGCAAAGGCTGATGTTGGCCTTCAAATCCCCAGGACTGCTATTCACAGGACAAGACGCAGCCATGAAGGTGATGGGGACATGAGGCACTCCCCCTCAGAGCACGCCACAAACTGGCCATACCATTGGCAGGGTGGGCAGATGTCTCCCTAACCTTGGCTGAAAATTTCCCCCTGGCCCATATTCAATTGCTACTTATTGAATTTGCAGGTTCCTCTACATTTTATTTACAGGTTCTTTTTATTTAAATGGGTTCATCCATTTTCTGAATGGGAAAACCCACAAATTCCCATCCGCCTCCCTTTCTCCAGATTCCACGTATTTTCATAGCACAAGAAAGCACCAGAAACCGGGGTGTCTCTGAGACCAGATCTGTGATTGTTGCTTCTGTACAAGCAATGAGGGAAGACACAAGTAAATTAGTATAACAATTGCTGTCATTTCACCCTTAAAAAAAGATGTAGCAGGAAGAAAATCGGAATTTGACCAATATGGAAGGCATCCTGGTTTTACTGTTGGACCAGAACCAGCCCTCCTTACAGAAATTTTAGATACTATTTAAACACAGAACTGGGTAAAAAAGTTCACAGATAACAGAGTCTGTGGATCATATAGCCCCTGGATGGTTTTGTTTACAAGATTTTTTGGCTGATTCAAATAGTTTGCAAATATTTTCAGCTATACATTTTCAACTCAGCATTCTCAAACATTAAAATGCTTCTTTACAAATATCTACCTCATGGTCGGATAATAAAATCAGTTTTGAGATAAAACCCAGAGGATTCACACTTCTGTACTGATTTACCAGATATCCATCTAGGAGATGCTGGAGTAAAACATTAGAGAGGGAGAGGTTCAAACTAAGTGTTAAGCACAGCTATTCTTTACATTAATAATTTATGCTTCACTGTAACAACACGTTTTTAGCATGGATTTCACTTTAATCTTTTACTTCAGTTCACTAACTCCCACTGTGCCACAAGCGGTGAAATCCTTAAAGACAGTCACAACACCAAAAAGTTTACATCACAAATAGATAATATCAAACAGTATGCGGAGGAAAACGGGGAAGGTACACAGAAAAGGCACATAACACAGATGGGATAAGGATACAGGTCTCTTATTCGCTCTTTCCATCACCCACACCATCAGGTTTCTCTGCTGGCAATAGCATCTATTAGTTTTTACAGCTATTAAGGACAGTTTCCGAAGTACTTAGAGCACTGGGTCCTGACCCTCCTGCTTCTGGGAGGACACGCACAGGGACTGAGCAGGGCTCTAAGTCATTAGTTGAAATAAGATCACCCTCTGCGGAGTCGTGACAGGTCCGAGCCACTGTAAATAACAGCTACGTACTCTTAGAGCCTCCTCCAAAAAGTCTGGGAAAACAGAAATCCCTCCCTTCACAGACACTGTAACTTTGACTGGAATAAAAAAAAGGGTTCAGAAAGCACTGAACAGATTTAACAGTAGCAAATCTGCAAGTCCCTCCTCTGGGAGGTATTGCGCAGCAAGTTAAGAAGGGAACACATGCCAAGAGTTTGAGGAGAAGGGGTGAGGGGCAAAGAGGAGCCCTGCCATCACTGCTGGGGGAAGGCGCTGGCTCTTGGCACAGCGAAAGTGGCAGCAGCTACTCAACAGCAGCACCTTACATTGGCTCTGGGAGCCCTCCAGTGGCTGCACGCCCCTGGCTGCCTGCAAGAGGAATCGTGTGGGTGCTGCTGTCCCCATCCCCAAACAGGAGGGAGGCAGATGGACCCTACAGTGGAGTAGCCATCAAGATGAGAAGAGGGAGTTGGCCACCATCAGGCCTTCTTCCAGTCTGAAGTAAAAGCAGCAAACCTCAAGCCAAGCCCTGATAGGGAATGTACACTCCAAGGTTAAACTTAATGTCACAGGGTCACTGTTTGGCAGATGACAGGGAGGGGAGCACGGTCAGCTCTCCACAAGCCCCGAGCTCTGCAGGTTACCAAACTGCACAGCAAGTTTGCCAAAGCTAAACCCACATGGAAAGAGCAAGCATTTGCGCAAGGATTCCAAGGCAAAAGCTGGAGCTCAGCTTATTTGAAATGCAGGTTAACAACAAGGAGAACGACTCACGACTCACCAGGGACATGGGAGTCCAAAGACAGCAAGGTACCAGGGGACAGCAGAGCACTCTTCCACGACTGAACCTCGGCACAAGTGCTCAGGTGATTTCAAAAGAAGAGGGAGGTTTTTTGCTTGGTTGGTTGGGTTTTTGTATGTTTGGGGTTTTTTTTACACCTAGGGAAGACAACCACCAGCGAGCACAAGAGGTAAAGCACAGCTGGCTGGCAGGCTCTAGGTTCAGAAGGAAGAACTGCCTCAACCCACCTCCTTTGGCACACTGCAAGTCTCCTCCAGAGCACCTGAAAAACAGCCCCTTTTGCCCCATCACACACATGGAGTGGGTGTTTGCAGCCCCAATTTGCGATCCCCTTCCTTTATATGGAAAATGGTAATACTCTGATTTCCTCTGTTGCATATTTCACATGACTGACCGCAAAACTATTAATATCTAAATCCAGAGTTGGTTCAGCTAGACAACTCATTCCCTCCATGGAGAGGAAAACCACAACTTCTTCCATCCCTGGAAAAACCTTTTGTGACTGCAAGACCAGCAGCTCAGATGTAGTACGGACAGTTCTGGTTTGCTGATACACCTCAGTGGAGAACATCAACCAGCATGAGAGAGTTGGGCTTGTTTCTTCTGTGCCTCCTTCGCATCTCCAGGAAGGGTGAGTTTTGAGCTTGCTATGAATCCCTGCCTGACCAGGGTTTTTTCCCCCACTCTAGTCAAAGTGCCAGGGCAATTGCCTAGTACAATGAACTCTCCAAGAACTGCACCATCCATCACATTGCTTAAAAGGATCATGAAGTTCCAGGTGCATGTGGGAATACTGGAAAAACTTGAAGGCTTGACTCTGCAATCATCAGAAATCTTTGGTTGTGTGGGTTTTACATCTTTTGCTTCTTTAACTTGTGCAGGGAGTTATTCTTCATCTAACTTTCCCCCCACATTGCCAGTTGGATGTAGCACGTCCATCACCACCCAGAAGTGCCGTTTCATGTTCCTGGGGGTTATTATGCAATGGACACCATTTACTCCAGTTCCACTGCACGCTTAAGCTCATGTTTAACTTCAAGTACACGCTTAAGTTCCATTAAACCTAACGGAATTTGCTTAGATATACTGTCAAATAGTCAACAGAGCAAGGCTAGTATCTGTGGTGGTCTCCAGCTCTTGATCTTGTTATTGCATTCATGACCTGAAATAATTTTCCCTGATACACTGATCTGGCAGCTCCTTTCAGGAGTTACCTCCCGTAAGGTGTGTAGGCTATTTGCCTGTCACCTTCAATCCCATAAACAAATGGAGGCTGTGTGTTAGCAAGAGGACACCATGGAAGACCTAAAAGCTAAAGCGCTAAGGTTAAATGATACACAAGATGCTGACAACTCCCTCCGCTCATAACAAGGCAAAATGTGTTTGATAGAACATAGAAATGGGTGGAGCTCGTGACACTAGAAGCACTTATTTTTAACATTATTTCTCATGTGGAAGGCAAGGCAATGTTTACGTGCTAAAAAGAATGTTCTTTGCTTAAGATTTAAAAAAAAAAATAAAATTGCAAACCAAAAAGGTGGCAGAGAAAAGCAAACCATTTACTCAAAAGCACATGATCTGCAGTTCTCCAAAAGTGAGGGTGACAGTGACACACAGTGAAACAACCAAAAAAACCGTGAAATAAACTAGAAAGCAACAGCATTTCTGTTTTCACTGCCAGGTCTTTGTGCTCAAAGTCCATGAGCTTCCTGGAGCTCCTGTGGCCAGGTAGCCTTGTACATTAGATTACTGAGGCTGCAAAGGGTAGTCATGTAGTTATAACGAATGACAAGGCAGCCCGCCTCCAGATCTCAGTAATCAAAATACTGGCTTGGCCCCGATTCCAGATAAATAACTTAATGGCAGAGAACTGGTCCTACATTGGCCTTTGCCCATTGTGCAGCGCACAATAGATTAATACAAGCTGCACTGCCACTGAGGTATTTGCCAAATATTATGGAGAACAGATATATGAACAAGCAAAAGAAAAAAATAATCTTATCTTAGAGTTTACTCAATTAACCCGACAGCTGAGAATGCCCACATACCACAGCAAAGCCAGCGAGACCAGGCATGGGTGGCAATTACTGGACACCTTTACATTTTTTGCAGTTATTCTCAGCTATTGAGGGGAAAGCTCCCGATTTAATGAAGCCATCAAATGACTTTTATAAGACAGGAATCTAGCCACAGACATTCCTGAAGCCACAATCTGCTGCTACAGCTGCTGCAATTAGCAAGACAGGGGATAGATACCCATATCTATACGGACAGCACTGCCTACAGGTGCGGTTTGTTGACGCTGTTGGTTCCTGGGGAAGAGAAATGGAGGAGACCTTGAGTTTTCCCTATGGACTTCAGAGGTGGGGAGCACCCAGTTAGGTGAAGGCTGTTTTCATCATCAGGCAGAAACGATCAGACTGGGTCTGGTGGCAGCACTGCGCTAGGATTTACTGCGACTAAATTTGGCCGAAGGAACAAAATCCCAACCGTTTGTGACATCTCAGCTGGAAAACTCAGGATTTCCTACACCATAACATCAGGACAAGGCCTGTCTGGGAAGAGACTGGTAGCTAGACTGCACAGCGCAAGCTGCTCTGCTAACAGGGAGATGCTTTCTGTGTTGTCAAGAGCATCCTCCTTCCTACGATAGGAGCTATAGAGGGAACTTGCCTGTTCTCACCAGCCCTTGTAAGATGAGTATCTCCAAGTCTTGATTCAGATCCTGCCGCAGCTTACGAGTAAGATGCTACTTGGGGATGATAGCAGCATTGAGCACGAGAAACATCAGCTGTTTCTACCTTCCCCGGGCGTAATACAACCACCAGCCTATTGGTAGAACAAATATTGTAGCGTGGGAGCGTGCGTTGTGTGCACGAATTCAAACGCAGGGCTGTTGCACTTACCACACTTCAGTGCCTAAACCCGCCAGATCTCTGAATACATGCAAAACTAACTTTTACCTTTTTTTTTTAGACAAAAAAGAAAAAAAAAAGTCTTCTCCCCCAAGCACATAAATGTCTGTTAACTGCAAAAGACTGTGTTACACTACTGACAATGCTATTGTTCACCTGACAAGAGGCCTGTTTAAGAATTACATCACCTGCAACATGAGCTAGTCCATCCCCTGTGCTCTGCTGCAGAGCAAGAGCACCCAGCAGCACAGGGCCCACCACGGGAACAGAGCATCCATTTTCTGAGCGACAACAGAGCTGATGCAGGAAGGATGCCCAATTTCCCTCTTAAACACTCCACATAAGTCATTCTTGATCATCTCTTTTTGCTTCTAGGTGTGCAGTCCAATGGCTGGTCCGTTCATGTCCCATCTGATGTTACTGGTGAACTTGGGAAGATGGTGATCCTGCCCTGTACTTTCACACACCCCTACAAAACGTTTGACCGGACCCTCACTGCCATCTGGAGGATCAAGGAACCTTACAACGGCACCATAGTTTTCAAGTGCATTAGTCAGAGCGCTGGCGAGCTCTGTAAGACTGCCATCAGCTACAAAAACAAATACAAACTGCCTGGCAACCCCCAGCACAAGGACCTTTCCATCAGGATTGACAATCTGACCTGGAGCGACAGCGAGAGGTACTTCTGCCGGGTGGAGTTGTCTGGAGACATCCACGACAAGTATGAAAGCAGAAATGGGATAAAGCTGCATTTGATTGGTAAGAGGGCATGAGAGCCAAAGGAGGCAAAGCCACCCCGAAGGGAAGCAAGAGCCACAAGATGTGGAAGCTGATGAGGTGGTAACAGAAGTTGACCTCAGATGGTCTTCCAAAGGGTTGGCTTTCCCAGCTCTGGGGGTAACTTGTAACATTTGGGCACGAAATACTTGTTGCCTTCTGTAGTCTTCCAGTAGGAGGTGATGTGCTCAATGCAGGGAAGGGAACAGGAACAAAACTGGTTAGGAAATAGCCAAGGTCTGGCTGCTGGGGTAAGAGCCAGCCAAGCCCTGGGCATCCATGCTCATCACAGGAGGGGTGGACTAGATGACCATTAAAGGTGCCTTCCAACCCAAACTATTCTATGATCCCACTTTGTCCCTGCAGCACAGGATCTGTGCAGTTCACATCTAAATTCCTCTGGAGCTGGAAAGGTTAAGTAAAAACAGCCTGAAAACCAGCTCTGATCTACAAATGTCAAACTTGGGTAGCTGGCAGTCTCCATTAACACCTAAAACTCCTTGGGCTCTCCCAACCATTGAGTTGCACCCAGATCAGATGACACAAGGAGCTTCACATCCTCTTGAAGGTTTTCACTATCTCCAGCTTGGGCTGAAATGCTGTTTTGAATCCCGAGAAAAAAAAAAAAAAACAACAACCCCAAGCTCTTACCCATATCTGGCTGAAAGCAGCATCTCCAGCTGCCATGGTCACGCTTGCTATGCATACCTGATCCTGTCCCTCTGGAAAGCACACAGCCCCAGGCTTCTCCAGTGTTGACCAGGGGATCACTAAGAAACCAGGGGGCAACAGCCACAAGGCAAAGCACCTTTGAGGCAACACCAGGCACCGGTATCACAAGGCGAGAAGTCCATCCACAGGGTGGACGTCCGCATGGAAGTAACACCTGCATCCCCACACGAGCTTGGGACCCATTGCGATAGCTGCTGGATGGAGGTACGCGGGGCGTTGCTCCTTCCTGTGGAGTCTGTGGACCAAACAGACAGGGAAGGAGAGAAACACAGGGAGGTGAACCACACCGCAGCCAAAATCTGACCCTCAAAGTTAGACACTGCCCATCGGCTCCCACTGAAGCCCACACACTGCTCATAGTACAGGAACCCAACGCAAGAGCCCGCTGCTGCAGTGGGACTCGTTTGCTCTGTCAGATGAATGATACGGCTGAAAAACACCTTCTTTTAGAGCTGTGCAGCACGGGAGAGACACGGCAAAGCAAGCAGGGGTGAATCTCCAGCACGGACCACACAGCCCCGGCTGTGCCCCTCCATGCCCAGGGCTCCCACAGTCCCTGTGCCAACCGCACCCCCAGGCTGCGACACGCTTTATTCAGACTCAGCATTCATTTATAAGGAGAGGCAGCTCAGGAAAGTGCTTATCCCATCTCCCCAACTGCGCTCGCAGATCAAGGGAGCACTAGGAGACCCAGGTGGCCTTGGGAACAGACTCAGACCTTACTCATGAGTGCAGAGGTGCCATGTGTTGGACAATTTTGTTTGTGAAGTGAAACTGCCTTACGCTTGCTGTGCATTGCGGGCATCCAGACAGGACCTGAGGATGAGCTGCGTTACTTCTTGGGAAGGTCTGCGTAGTCAAGGGTCTCCTTGGGGCAGCTCCTAAGCACCCACACACACAGCATGACCAGGGCAGGACCGCAGCAAAATCTGTCTCTCAGAGGCTACCTAGATTTTAACATCAGAGGAATGATAACACAAGCAGATAAAGTACACCAGCTGCCCCCTGCTTTGGGAGTGGGCCCCAACAGTATGAATAAATAATGCTTAAAAGGCTAATTTAAACACCAAACCAGGCAGACACACAAGTAACACAGCTAGATCAGTCTTCCAGCTTCAAACTGCTCCTGGATTACGCAGCCAAGGGGCAAGACATGCTGTATGTGGTTGCACGCTCTGCATTTGCTGTCCAGCCTGACAAAAAAAAAAAAAAAAAGAGAGATAAATACTGAACTCCTGCTTTTCCTCTGTGAGGACACTCATTTAGATCCCTTTCACAATGCCTTTAGGAACCAAATGCATGAAACAGGCCGATGGGTCCAAGAGGAGAGGACCAATGGGTAAGATAAGCTTGGTCGTATCAGCTACGCTTCCTTAGTGGACTAGACCAAAGATGACATGTTCAACAGCACTTCTCTTAACGTTTTGCATCCCCCAAACGATCTTTACCACAGTTCATTCAGTCACACAACCCCATATGCTACAAATACCGGATACAAAATTAGTGGCCCTATCTTAGTATTGGTGTGCTACCCCAAAGCAACCAGGAACCTACACCAGCTGTTGGATGGTCACTAGAGGGTTGTAGGAAAATGTCAAACACAGGTGGTAGCAAAGAGTGGAAAGGTTCCCTGTCAATAATTTGCCAAATCTGGCAAGTTTCAGGCATCAAGCAAAGGGCTCGCACAGATTCCTCCATATGTGCTCTGGAGGTCAGAGCCAGGGGAACAGCCAGAAGATGCTTGCAGGAGAGCACCATGGTTGCCTTCTCCTGGACCATGTGGAGATGCAGCCAGTTGGAAAAGGTCATCAGCTACACCTGTACCTATGTCATGGACAGCAGTGGGCTGTGGTTCATGGTGCAACTGCAGAAAGCAACACATCTTCGTGGATAATTGCCCTGCTACAGCACAGTGCCTCTGCCTTCTGCTACCATGGAAGGTCAAGTTGACAGAAGCTCAGAAAACTGCGTAAGGCAGTGCAGGGGTAAAACATAAACAGAGTACACATCCTGGCACACAGGCTTTGCTGGGCAGATCCCTCTGCTCCTCTATCCAATACAGGCAGGGTGGGGAAATCTAGGGAAAAAACAGCTGAGAAAAACGAGGCAGGGGAGGTTTGATTCCAACATGATACAACATGCTGAGGGTCCACCAAAACCAAGACCTCATTCCAGGTGTCTTTCGTTAGACCTGCCTTTGAAGCTTGATGCACTTTCCTCCCTTGTTGTGATTTCTGCAGCTGCCCCCAGGATCATCAACATCACTGTCAGCTCCAACGGGGATCGCACCTTCCAGGCACGCTGCACCGCCGAGGGGGAGCCAGCACCCGCTCTGACCTGGACTGGACCATCCTACAGCAACCTCACCTCCATCACCAGCATGAACCATCGTGTCACCAAAGAGCTCCAGTACCTGACCCACGATGGAAAATACACCTGTACCGCTGTCAACAGCCACGGGAGAGCAGAGGGGGCTGTGTACTTCTACAAATACAAAGCATCCAACAGCTCCTTCTTCCTGATCCTGATCTTTGTGCCGCTAGGAATTAAAGTGCTCATTTTGCTGGTGATACTGGGCTTCACTGTTTTCTCGAGAGGAGGTACGTATCACTATTTCCCTCGGTAGTCTTCCCTCCATCAGACTGATAATCAGTGACAGGATGCAGCAAATAAAGGCAGGCAGGAAGGGCTGGTTGTGTTTTGGGTGGGTTTTTTTTTAATGGTTATATGATTTTCCACCCAAGGAGAAGGGCATTTCTAATGGGAAATCTAAGAACAAGTCAGAGGGACCTCCTGGCTGGCTCATCACAGCCTGCAGAAAGGAGGTCTCCTTTGGGAAGGGACCTTTGAAAAGACAGAGGGAGCAGGAGTTTCCCTGTACCTGTGGAGAAAGGTTAATAAACTAACAGATGGGCAATTAGTGGAGAACCCACTGCCTACACAACCAGATTTTTAATTTTTTTTTTTTTTTTTTTTTTTCCCTTGAAGCAGACTAACTACTACCTCTTCCCCTGCATCCTGTAGGCAGGATTTACCTTTGCTGCATCCCACCCAACAGCTTAATCTCCTGGGGTGGGCATCCTCATTTTACAGACCACCCCTCTCGGTCCCCTGGGACTCACTATCCAGGTGCTTCCCCATGATTAGTGAAATCCCATCACTCAGCCATGCCAGGCCCACAAGAGCAGGGAAACCCCAGCTCATCGGAGATGAGAATCAGCTCATGGACTGGGCTGCATCAAAAGAACTGTGGCCAGCAGGTCGAGGGAGGCGATTCTGTCTCTCTACTCCACTCTCGTGAGACCCCACCTGGAGTACTGCGTCCAGCTCTGGAGTCCTCAACACAAGAAAGATGTGGACCTGCTGGAGCGTGTCCAGAGGAGAGCCATGAGGATGATCCCAGGGATGGAGCACCTCTCCTGTGAGGAGAGGCTGAGAGAGTTGGGGCTGTTCAGCCTGGAGAAGAGAAGGCTCCGGGGAGATCTTATTGCAGCCTTCCAGTACCTAAAGGGGCTACAGGAGAGCTGGGGAAGGACTTTATACTAGGGCTTGTAGTGACAGGACAACGGGGAATGGCTTTAAACTGGACGAGGGCAGGTTTAGATTAAACATTAGGAAGAAGTTTTTCACTTTAAGGGTTGTAAGGCACTGGAAGAGGTTGCTGAGAGAGGTTGTTGAGGCCCCATCCCTGGAGGTGTTCAAGGCCAGGCTGGACATGGCCTTGGTTATATGGTCTAGTGGGAGGTGTCCCTGCCCATGGCAGGAAGGTTGGAACTCGATGATCTTCAAGGTCCTTTCCAACCTAAACCATTCTATGACTCTATGACTGAGGGCAAGACCTCCCCACAAAGCTCAGAGGCCCCTGGTCCCCAGCCCACCACTCCACTGTGCGATGGCACAGGGAGGAGGGGACGAGGAGGGACTCCAGGCTCTGCCTCTCAGGCTGGACGAGACATCACAGAATGGTGACTCATCTGTAGAGACTATCTGATGTCTACACCTTGCAAAAGCCACCACTTGCCCCTAACTGTAGAAATTGTAAGACCAATCAGAAACACTTTGCTCCTTATATTCCAATGCCAAATTCCCACCCTCGTGAAGGGGACCACACACCTGACAAAAAGTCTTCTCACCATTCACTGGGGTGTCACCACCACCCTGCAAGTGCATTCTCCTGACAGCTCTAGGCCAGTCCTGGCTCTGCAGCTCACTCCAACCACACTGCTAACCCATGTCTTCCCACTTCACAGGTCCCTCCTCCGTCCCATCCAGCCTGACCCGGTAAGGACATCCTGCCTTCTACTCACGTTATCCAGCAGGAGGGTGGAGATGGCTAAGGAGAGAAATGCATGTCCTTGGTCTTGGCAACAACCTCCTGGTCTGAGAGCAGGCTCCTGGGACAAGGACAGGGTTGGGCTGATGGCCAGGCGAGCCAGTTTGAGGGACCAGGGATAGGGAACTGCTGGGAGGAGGCTCTGGCTTGGATCAAGCTGAGGAAACCCCACAAGACTGGGGCAGCAGGTTGCAGAGACCATGGCACATGGATGCTGCAGCAGCAAGCGGCTAGCAGAAGCTCAGGTGGGCCACAGGCCCAGAGCATGGTAGGAAGCCACAATAAACTAGCAAAAAAACCACCCACCGAAGGTACAGGCGAGGGGAACAGGCTGGGGTGGCATCTGCAGCAGGCTGATGAATGATGAACAGGAGGGAAACTGTGCGACAGGAACCTTCCCGTGCTCTGCACCCCTGTCTCTAACAGGGCAGAAAAAGGGCCCACCTCAAACCTAATAAACTCTGACAAGTGTGGAAGAACATATGGAGATGCCAGAAAACCCACCTCAGAGCTAGCTCAGGTATGGCAGGGCCTGATTCTTTGGCTGGCATCCATACCACGCTCCCACAGTACCTTTGGCATTTACCATTACCCAGCACAACACCGCTCTTGGACAGAATCACAGAATGGTCAGGGTTGGAAGGGACCTCTGGAGATCATCTAGTCCAACCCCCCTGCCAGAGCAGGGTCACCTACAACAGGTAACTCCAGCAGTTCACTCCTGACAGCTGTGGTGGCCAAGGTAGGAAGAAATGGGGGGAAAAAAGCCTCTACAAACTAAAAAACAAAACCAACCCTTAGGCTAAGCCTAAAGAAGCTGTACCTGAGGTCAGTATAATTACATCTTCCTGGGGCTCCTACCTTCCAACCCGAGTTATCCCTGTGCGATGTCTCCTTCCCCAACCTTACCCAAGAAAGATGGCCATTTCAGGAGGACACTCGAAGTGTACAGCATCAGGACACAGTCAAAGAGGCAACAGGGATTTTAATCCTACATTAACTACCGTTAAATTTGTATTAACTATTTGCAACAGCACAGTTTTGCTGATTTAACAGCGTCCAAACCATACTGCACCCTTGATTGTATTTGTATAGATACATACATAGATAGATGAAGCTTAAAAACCACGATCCTCTGTGAGAAGATCCTTCTCAGGAGAGGTTCGCACCGCCTCCTGAGGCCCTGAGCAGCAGGACAGTAGTTTGAGTTAATGCTAACAGTGTAGGAGACCAGTCTGGATGCTTTAAGATGTAAAACATTAGAGGCAACTCAGACACTTAAAAGCTACCTGCTGCAGAGGGGAGTATCCGTATCAGACAGCACTGCAGACACTCACCCTGACACTCCTTAACTATTAGCTGAAGCCACGTAGGAAGTCTAGAGCAGCCAGAAATGTGTCTTCACCTTATTCACTTCTTCCATTGCCAGGCCACAGCTGCAAGATTCTACCTACGAGAACTTTGACCGCAGACATGGCGGCAGCCAGACTTTGCCGACAGAAAGAACAGCATCGAGACGCAGCTGAGGACCTGGGGAGGACCTGGGCAATCTCATCTGCGCCCGCTCGCATGGTTCCAACTCCCGTCTGCTCGGTACAAGCGTGCCTTTCCCAGTGAACACAAGACTGCTGTTGACTGATGCACGGAAGGTCAAACAGGCCTTGCAGGTGCATGTTTTCCATCCCCGATGCTGCTTTATAAGCAAGAGAAGCCTTTAAAAGGAAGACAGATGAAAGAAAAAACAAAGAGGGATGGATCTGGAAGAGCAGAAGAGCATCTACGCAAGACGCCAGTTCTAACCAACCTGTGTGTTTTTAGCCTGTATCAGATAGCGTTCAGCAAGCAGATAACACTCTGCCGTTTTCTCACATCTTTTTGCTTTGGCATTTTTCAAATGTTACTTCAAAAAGCAGTTTCCACCACTCTAGTTGTCAAACCACGTGCAGCTTCCTAGAGCCCGCAAGTGAAGTATTTTCATGTTTCAAATATCAGCTGTGGAAAAAAAAATATGCTACTGGAATTTCTGTGGGGGTGTGTGGGGTGTGTGTGGTTTATTTTTATTATTCCTTAACTTCCAGAAGAGTTTATTTAAGAGTTTAAAGAAAATCTTAACTTTCAAGGAGTCCACACAAAAAGGAAAAGAGGTTCTACAAAAGCTGGTAGAACTGAAAGCAAGACATGCAAAGGGTGGTCTGTATTCTAACTCTACGGCAGCTCCTAGTGCTCATGTGCACACACAAGCAGAATCTCAGAGCCTTGTGACAAATATGTTGTGAAAACGTTTCAATAAACTAAACCGGCTTTCTTAAAAAAAAGAAAATTATTTCTAAACAGTCTCCATCTCTGTTTCATGAAAAAATTCCTTTAAGGCCTGACAACATGTCTCTTAAATTCTTCTGGGATGAAGTCAGTACTACAAAGTCACTGGCCATCCACAGACAGGTCTCTAACCCAAGCGTGAACGTGCTCCAAGACCAGGGGAACAGACCCAGCTTATGGTACAGGGTGATGCAAGTCAGCCTGGAGTCTGGGTCAGGCCAAGGTCCAGGAGATGGCTGTGAAGGGCAGCAGCTCGGCATAGAGGAGGAGAATAACGAATGAAAAAAGGAGGAGTGACAAGAACCTACTTTCAGGTTTATACCACTGTATTCGATCCTCTGTGTAATCATTCCAGGGCAGCAGCTCCAAAATTCTTCTAACGATGCTGCTTCTGGTAGCAACCACCGCTGGACAGGAGCCCAAGCTGCTACTGAATTACCACCAAGCCTGCACGCCTGCTTGAAAGCCCACCCCCAGCCTGGGAATTATTAAAGTTCACTTCTTCATAACATCTGCACTGGGAAAGTGAAATGCAACTTCAAATGACTTGGCCAGAGTAACAAGGAAGGGAAAAAAAAAAGAAAGAAAGAAATTCTCCAACTAAACTGCATGAATTATCCAAAAGGCACAATTGTTAAGTAGTTGACATTCCAATTTCATCTCCTTCCACTGCAATCTACAATGCTAAAACCACCACAAATCTCAGTTTTCCTTCTGAGATTACCTGGTTACATTTATGATGTGAACAGGAACACTGAAGTTTAGGGTGGGAGGGAGGGTGGGAGATGGCGGGAATGCAAAAGTCTTCCCAGAAACACTAGAAGAAACAAGAAGTCCATCTGTTGGGCATCATTTGGAAATTAAGACCCCAAGCTCTGGAGTTCACATTTGTGACAGAGAACTGCCAGTGGATCTGTCAGTCCCAGTCCATAAAACTGCTCCCCTGTATTTAAGGAAAGCACAGGTTCAGACTTCTACCACTACCATGTTCTCAGAGAAATCAGAAGATTGGTTTGAGGGTGACACGCACAGCGTAAGCAGTAGCTCATGGCCAATCCTCCCTACTTCTTAGGACCTACCATAGTATTATTCAGGGAGTACTTTAACCATGATAAATAATTTTCATCACAATTATTAGATTGAGAAATAGGAATAAAAGTCAACAGCACCATCTCTACTACATTTTAAGCTGTAAGATGCTAAAGAAGCTGTTTCAGTGATCAAAACAAACGGACACGATAATGATGTCAATGGTGTCTGCTGACAGCAACGACCCCAGACTGGTCCGGCCCTGCCTACCAGCAAAGGCCTCAGCAAGAATGTTACACCACCAGCACTGGACTTCCCCCCTACTTCACTCCACACCACCAGCCTTCCCCTCGTTTGGGATAAATATCAAATTCCAGAGTCGGGCCAGCTGTGAGTGCTGAAAGAACAGAACCAGTGCATCCCTCTACGGTCACATCACCACAGCGGTTTGGGGGATTTTTCGAAGACAGAGAAGCATTATTTCTGCTATTATATATAGATGAGGTTTCTCCTGGGCTCTGGGCACACAAAAACCCCACATTGTTGTATCACATATTAAATTCAGGATGTCTAAGAGAAAAGTCTCCAGACCTCCATCAACTGAGCAATTGCATGGCATTCCCCCATCATACTTTTATCTCCAAGAACAATTACGTATTACCTGATGTGGATTCCTCCAGCAAGTTGAAAATAGCATGGCTTTTGTCACAAATTACTTGATTTTTCATTTTTATTTCGCATGGTCTTTGCAGACATAGCATGTTATAAATACAACATTTGTAAAAACTCAACAGCTGAAACAATTATCTCATTTTGAAAGTGCATTTCAGACACACATATTTCTGACTTCTTCACATTTTTATGCAACTGATCAACAACACTGAATCTAATAAAACCAGTGCTTTTAAGTCTTTGGGGGGGGAAGGCAGCAGAATGTATTCTTCCAGGCATGAATTTTCCAAAAGTCTGTTAAAAAACATGCTGCTTCAATATCTGGTTAATACATAGAGGGATGTACATGTGTGTGTGCATATATATATTTGTAGGCTCGCAGATAGAGCAAAGAACTCTAAGACCACATTAGGATGAAGGTGATCTAATGACCCAGCTGGCATAGTTACCAGAATCTGTCAAGAAGAAAAAGATGATTTGTTCTCCAGCACCGGAACCACAGTTAAGAGCAACACTTCAAAGCATTATTGACCAGACAGTAGGTAGCACATTTCCTTCCCCTAGTGACCAGAACTAATGTTTTAACACGTAATCATGTTCTAAACATAAAGGCACAATTAATGGAGGAAAAGAAGAAGCGATCACTGTTCTTTCATAGAGGTGTACGGATTGGGACTGCAGGACCTTGGGCCACCTCAGATACATCAGTGATAAAAGGGACATTAGACAAGCAGCTGGGGAAACTCGCCTTCTGCTTTCCCTGAACAAAAGCACATCTTATGATCAGACAAGGCAACAAAACCAGTGATCATTCAACTGAAACAACAGATCTACAGGCTCACGGTTCATGCTTTGGCAACAGGATTTTAACAAGTGATCACCAAAATTTAGCAGAAGAAAAATACCTTTTCACAGTGTCATCTAAAACCCTGTCATGTCATGCCCAGCTAGGCAGAATAAACTTAAATGGTGGGTGTCCATTTGTTAAGTCTGTATTTTCTAAACAACCAAACTTTCAGGATTAAGGAATCCTACCCAACATGAACATAACTGACTACTCCCCTCCCAGACACTGGGCATCCAGAAAATCTGTGTCTGGATTTAAATCACCTGACCTAAAAAGAACTTGACTAGAAGTTACTTGCATTTAACAAGCAATATGGATGCGGACTCACTAATATTTAGAAAAATAGGAAAAAACAAAGTTCTTTAGTTCAAACTTTAGGTTGTATTTACAGAAGTGGAAGAAAATTCTAGGCATGCCTTTCAACTACAGACTTTTGTGGGATAGCAAAAGTGTCAAAATTCAAAATACTATCTTTCCAAACACAGGGATTTCACAAGTCTCCAGGCACACACTCACGTAAGATTCAGAGGTATCCTGGTTAAGAAAGTCAAAACCTCTTTTATACACAATCCCCCACTCACTTTGAGCTGGCCTGAGCAATGACAGGTTGGAAAATAAAAAAGGCACAAAGCCAAGACTTAAGATGCTACAGGATGAGCTTCACTGTCTAATGGTATCCTCCTCTCAGATGTGCACCGTACACAGGAAGATATTCAAGTGTTTTCAGTCAACAAAAACAAAGCAATTCCACAGGCCTACCAATCAAAGGAAAAGAAAGAAAACCTCAAAGAGCAGAAAACTTGCCAGTATGCAATCCCCATCCACGTTTACTTGTGCAATAAAGACATTAAATGTAAACCAGAGTAATCAACATTGCGTGATTCTGCGAGCTCAGTGCCGCTATCGTATGCTGTCCAAATAATGCACTTCTGGGTACAGAGTGTTAATAAGGAGAGCCAAGAGATTATTGCCGTCTCGAAGACAGTGTTCTGGATGCTTGATGAACTGGGAAGCCTGGGAGACTTGCTCTTGATAATCCATATATTGTTTGTTTCATGCCATAGATTCAAGAGCATTTAGTGCCTATAGAAACAAGGGAAAATTCTGTTAGCTGTGTGTCCTTCTGGCCATAACACACCTGTTCACGAGCCACCATGTGCACAATTCCCCTAGAAGATCCTTATCTACTAGAAGATCCTTATCTACTAGAGAACCTGGAGTATTTGGAATAAAGCATTTGTAAAATACAATCACATAACACCGTTTCAAGCCAACTCATTTTTTTCAATCTGTCCTCTCTGAGATCAACAAGACAACTGTTCTATCAAGACTTGCTAGGATTCTGTAACCCAAATATTGTCAAATATTTACTTCATGAATTCAAAACATGGTCTCAAGGAAATTACACCAAACTACAAACTGCAACACACTTAACTACTCATTTCAGGTTGATCTTATGAACTTTCATAAAAGTATTACCTTGCTTACATTAATAATATTACAGAGACAATGTCAAGTGAGAAATTGTACATAAGAGAGCCAATGCTGGCAGTATCAGCCAGGGGAAATGCTGGAATTGTGTCTGAACAAGTTTCATTTACTTATTGGAGAAGCACGTTGTACCAAGTTACTTTGCTCTGGTTTCTAATCAACTCCTTC